AGTTGCTGCTACGACACCCGTGTAATTATTATTATTATTATTATTGGTTGAACAAAATATATCCGTTAGACAGTTGCACTTTTGATTGGCGGCTACGGCCATCAGGTAAGACTGCGTATCTTTTGGATTGCTCTCAGATAGAGCCTTGATCGCTTCCAAGAGTTTTGATTCGGTTAGGCTGTCATCATCAATGTGGCCGAATTCGCCAAAGGATCGGGGCGATAATATGGTCACGTACTGGTTAAGAGAACCTGAGGAAGGGTAACTCATATAACCTCCTAATTCGTATTTACTGCACGGCGCCGAGGCGATGCCCTGAAAAGATCGCCCGAAGTGTGAGGGTTGCTGCCCCAGTCCTGAAACAGCACCGCCGGTTATTAGAGAGATATATCTCGAGCATAGGGTCTCATTCTGAAAAAGGATTCTGTCAACGTGAGAGACGGCACCAAACCGTCTGCTCTTCCCGGAACCCAATCGTCATTTGATATACTTGGAGGGAAAATCGTCGACGATGGTGCCGGTAGTAACAGTAGTAGTTTTTTTTTTTTTTCTTCATTATTTTTATTCAGAAGGTCGTTACTAGTTCTCAACGTGAGATCAAATAGCTCGTGCTCGAATGGGAACCAATCGTTAATAGATTTGGAGGGAACGGCAGCAGCAGATGATGATGATGTTTCGTCTCTCTTCTTCTTTTTCTTCAGGGCCGGGGGGTTATAAACGTTGTCGTTTGCTCCCAGCGAGAGATCAAAGAGCTCGCCTTCAAATCTGGCATACTTTTTTAAAATCGGCCAACGACGCCTTCGTCAAGCCGAAAGAATCGTTCCGTCTGGAGAATCTCATCTCCTCGGGAAGAATGGCAACGGGCACGTCTTGGGGTAGAGCCAGCGTCGTAAAACCGCATTATTCCATATGACGTTTTCCGCTCCAAACACGGCAGCGTCGACGAAGCAGTAAGGTGATTCTCGGGTGTGGGAATATCCGCTGTTTTCTTTTCCTCCGGTTAACGAGAATCCCGTATACTGACCCGTCTGGTTAGCTACTAAATTTTGTGCGGTGGGGTATCTCACATACTTTACTTTTGAGTTTTCATCGTCATGATCGACGCCTACAGAATATGCTCTTCCGTCATCAATCTCGTAATGATCTATAAGGCACGGCAGATTTGTCGAAATCATTTCTTCTGTCCATTTAGTGTTGAGAGAACTCGTCCCCGAACCGCTTACTGTCGTTGGCTGAATAAAGAGACCGCCCAGCAGGTCGACGGAAAATTCGTTATTGTCGCCTTCTCTTTGGCCAGTGGAGGAGAAGAGTCGTTGCCAGTCGTCTTCGGTCGAGACGTTGCCCTGGATCATGTGGGGAACATGGAAATAAACTTATCGGGAAATGCTAGATTCTTCCTTCTAGTACATGTTGAACAAAAATACCTAAATAGACGTTCTATAGGTGTATACCCCATAGCCATGGCAAGGGTCGCGAATGATAGTGTCCAGTCAGACCCTTTAGTCGCTGGGTGGGGGCTTCTCGGGGCAGGCGAGCCGCCTCCGGATTCTTTCTCGTAATCGGTACGACACTTGTCGTGAAAGAACGGCACGATAAAGGCGGATGCGCATACCCCGGGTCGTTAGCTCATCATCTGAGTCAGAGGGTTGTTTTTATCCATGTCGGTGACCTTTTCGAGAAAACACGATTCCCTGTTAACGCCGCAATCTTTGGTAGACAGTTCACCGCCTCTCCTGTACACCCCGCCGGGATAGTACCTGCCAGCCGACGCTACCAGTCCTACCGCGTGCTCCAGCGACACCCCAACCCCGGGTATGCCGGTTGTCGAAGGCGGCACCATCTTCAGCGATCCGTTGGGATGGACGATGGCAATGCGATCTTTGTCGGGAGAGGACCCGACGATAATGTTATTGTCGTTCCACACGTCGCCTCCCCAGATGTGCGCCGGTACTCCTCCCGTGCCAAGAAAAGGACTGATCCCTCCGATCGAGTAGGATGCTCTCTTTTTCGTTTTCCCGATCATCATCCACGACAGATAGCCAATCGCCACCGCTGGTGACTCCACCTCTTCTAACGAGACCTCCGGTCATAAGGTGACCTCCCATATTATCTCCCAGTCTGAATGACGAAGCCTCATCATTATCATCGTCGTAAAAGACATGAGCCGCAAAGCCGTAACCGAAGGCCGACACCCTAGGATCTACTCCCGGCTTGGGGAGACAGGCGTCTAGGCCATCTAGCAGTTCGTCTTTAAAGACGGTCAGAGCCTGAACCGTATCCATATCGTAGTCTGTAGTCAACCCTCCTCTCGTGACGGAATCGACAACTTCGAATAAGCTGACCTGAGTTGCAGGATTACAAACACATCGCACGATTCCGGTAATACCGTCGATATAAGCCACGGGACAGACGGCAGCAGCGAGTCCGCGTTGTCCTGGTCGCCGCCATCCTCCTCCTCCTCCCTTTTGACACGTCGGAAGGTGATGAGTCGTTTCATCTCGAATCTCGGTATAGCCTTCTGCACATCCACAAGTCAAGAGATTAGCCTCGGCAATAATATCAAAGTCGATATCATCTACGGATCGCACGAACGTCTTTTTTAGTGGATGTAGAGGGTAACCAACACCTTCGCCTCCACACAGGACGATTTCGTCACAGTTCATAAAACTCGCAGCTAGGGATCCGCTCTAACGTAATGTGTATTCTTTCGCACAATTCTATCATCTTTACACGATGTCGTTTTAGTTACAATTGTTTGTTCGACGGGCAAACCGTTATCGTCGTGGATGTGATTGTAGTCCCCGATGACCCCTACCACAATATCGGTCGTGTAACGATTAATATAGTTTAAATTCATGATCCTTCTTCCCTTGGGTACGCAGAGACCGACTTTCTCTGCTGCTGCTGTACTGGTATCGATTACTTCTCTTATCGTAGTATTTTTGGTGAGGTGAGAATACCAGGTAAATGAGAGGCTTCCAAACATATTCCTCCACCGATGGTATTGCACACCTGGCACTGCGCAATAAAATTTTCGGATGACGGATCGGGATTACAGTATACCAAGGTGTCGTGACAATCTATAGACGATAATGCATTGTCGTCGACGCGATGGTGATTACTGTTACTACCTCCTGGTAGAAACCCGCCACCGATGATGGGTTCGAAATTATTTCTTTTCTGAGCTAGGGTCTCTTCATAAGAAAACTTTGAATCGTATGGATTCGGTACATCTCCGATATATTCGTATATATCCGACATAATGATCGGTTGATCTGTTTAAAATATATTGGAACACTCTTCCCCCCCCCCCTCCTCCATAATACAAACATTAGTTTATTTATGATTTAAGTAAAAGAATAAAATAAACATATACCTTTAATAAATTTTATTATATTTACACTTCAAATATACAATATTGAACTTTGAGTGAGTCTCTTTATTTATTTATTTTTTTTTTCATCTATCAAACGAATTATTTTCTAATTTAATTATCATTCGTATATATATATATATATATATATATATATATATATATATATATATATATATATATATAATCATTTTGATATATCAATCTGTAAATTTGCGCATAATACTGAAGCCTGTAACAATAGAAATGTTTGGAATAAGTTCTTCGACAACTGCCGTTTTATCTGTGTCCGATAATTCTCTCATATTTTTTATCGTATCTAGTCCTAGATGACTAAAAATACTATTATGAGAAATCTTTCTTAAGCCAGTATTCTTAAATTGAGATATGATTAAATATACGACAAAGATGACAAATACCCAAAACAAGAATGAAATGAGTGGCATTCTTCTTTTTTTTTATAAACAATTATACATATATCTCTACAGAGTCCTCTAGCTATACCAACGCGATAATATATTTACATCGACATGTCCACGTCCGGGAGTCGTAGTGTCCTATATGTCTGGCAATTCGTTGGGATCGTAGTATTTTGATTGTTTGGAGTGTCTAGGGTATGGTAACATAACGAGATCGAATGCCGGTTTGCAATTGTCAGATACAAGTTGTTTCTTAGATTTTAATGTAGCTATAATATTTGTTTTGTATTATTGTCTATATTCTTTACAATTTCTGAAATAAACTGAAGATATGTTATATATTTTTTGATTGCCTTCAATAGTTTATTTGAACTTTCTTCAATATAGGTACAAGAGATATTATAAACATGATCTATATGGTCTTGTAGATGTTCGACAGATTCATAATCTGCAACATCATACTCTTCATACTTTATATCCTTTAAAGCATAAAGGTTACACTCTACAGGCTTTAGTCTCCAATCGGGCATATGGTGTATTTGGATATTATTGTCTTCAGTTTTATCAACATCATCATCTCTTTTACTTTTATTTTTATCAGTAATACAAAGATAATCATAATGAGCAGTAATTTTTTCGCTCGATTCTTTAAAAACATCATAATAGTTAATTATCTTAAGCTGTTTATTTATGAAATTCTTCATTTCTTTACTAAACACGACATAAGCATACTCGGTATCATCATAATGGCACTTAAGACACGCAATTTCAATATTATGTAGATTTTCCAGATAGTCCACGTCAATGGTGAAACTCTTCATAATATTAGTATATTCCTTATAACATGTACCTATCAATGACTGTAACTTATGTATATAAGTTAGAATACTATCCATAGTAAAGTTTTTATTCATTCTTAATTCGTATTTTTTTTATATATAAAGACTGGAATCGATTTCTTATAATTATATTTATTTCATAGTCCCGATCCTTCTACAATTTATAAATATCCCGATAAATAGTTTCGAGATGAATATTTTCAGACTTTTCGTCTTTGAGGATTGTATCAAGGTGGAAGGTGTATTCGTATAGTTGAGTTGACGGCCGTGTGTATAAGCGCTGACGACCACTGTCAATATACTGTTCTGACGATTCCTTTCTATCTCGCCGAAAGCGATCTTGTTGGACGCGATAGAGTCTCTATAATTATGGTCTTAGGTGGTGTTGAGATGAAGAAGAGTCTGGTATGGTTTGGTAGAGTCTTCCAGTAATCTTCGTCAATGATGGTTTCATCAAACAATGTTACCTTTATAGAACTTGTATCTTTTATGCCCAGTTTTGCCGCACCTTTTTCTATGAAATCCTGGAAGCTCTCGGCTACGACTCCGTAACGAAGTTTGCGGTCTGCTGACCAAACTTTAATCGCCTTCCTTTCCATTATGTTTTGTTCTGTTCTTTTACATCAATCAGTTACATCTTATACACATATATCTATGTATATTGTTTATGTTAACTCTCACGAATAGAGAAAATTCCAAGATTATCTTTTTTCCTTTAATTTTTTGTCGATTTCTGAGGAGTTTCTTTATAGTCAGTCTATCTGTTTGTCTGTAGTTAGATAGACAACAATGACATTTATCTGATTGTATTCTTGTCATGTACGACAAATGATTGACTGGTTGAATAAGCTGAAGAGGTGTATTATTAATTCTGAAACACAGTCATTAACATGACGTTGGGCTGCATCTAGTACAAGGGCTTGCTCATAAATACCGTCCAGATCAAGAATTTTTTATTCTCTAAAAAGATGTTACCTTATCAGGGGGGTGAAGCGACACCGTTGATGAAAGCATCACGGAAGAATTCTTAACGATATTTTTCTACAGTCTATATCATCTTGAAGTTACGATCCTTTCTTATTTATTTTGAGTTCTTGTAAATATTTTTCTAGAGATTCGTTTAAGTTTTGTTTCCTATTAAGTAACCCTATTAAGGATGTATATATATATATATATATATATATATATATATATATATATATATATATATATATATATATATATATATATATATATATATATATATATATATATATATATATATATATATATATATATATATATATATATATATATATATATATATATATATATATATATATTGTGTGTAGTGTGTATATGTTAATAATACTCACTTACCAAAGTCGCTTTGCATACTTTTCTTGCATGTTTCTCTTGAAAATTTTCCTTTCATATCTATTTTCAATCTCTTGAGCTTGCAAAGTGTTATCTATACTATTCTAATTAACCGAGGTACCGATAATACTGAAGTTAAGGTATTCCAGTATTTACCCATGGTTAAACAACAGAGACGTTCTAACGACGAAACGTTATTCCAAGACCTTTGTATGTTAATGTCGTCGTTGAACACTTTCTTAAATATTGTTTCACGTTCATTGTAAGAAGATATTATGGAATCCATAAAACGCTGTGTCATAAGTTAAGATAATGCTACTTTTTATTAACCTATTATCAAAATACATTATCTCTACATATAGCGGTCTTCTTCTATAATGCGTTCTTAAAAGAAAACAAATATTGGGTGCGGATATACTCCCATTAGCAGCATAATAATAAATGCGATCTACGGCTATTGACTCGGTCAAAAACCGACTCATCTCCTCTTCACTTTCCCAGTATTTTCGCTCGTCGGAAAATGTTATTACTTTAATCTCGCGTCGTTTTAGTAATCCGAACCAGAAGTCTATATCGACATAGCTGTCGATAATTCCATGGGGAATAAAGAAACAGATGCATTAATATTAGAGAAATCTACTTTTATCTATTTATTAACATGTTTGAATCTTTTTCTTTCCACTCACTGTATCGGTTTTCCGTATTAAGGAGGTCGTTTGTTTCCTCAGCTTTTTGTTGTGTTTAATTCCGGTAATGACGAGAAGATATTTTTGCTTTAATTGTCTATTCATTTATAAAAATATATATAATATATATATATATATATATATATATATATCGGGGTGGATATATTCTTTACCGTTTAATACTCGTGTTTCTTCTACAAGAGATACAAAGTCTCTTGTATTAATCAAGGTCTTGTGTTAATCTCTTCATAACGACAACCCATACTTGCCTGCATATAAATAATGTTAGAAAATTTATATGACATTTATATTAATACCGTAATGTTATAGTGATGAAATAATGGAAACATTTTTATGTGTTATATGAAAGAGGGTTAATTTTGTAGACTAGCATTTTTTATATATATATATATATATATATATATATATATATATATATATATATATATATATATATATATATATATGTATATGTATATTTATTTATTTTCTTAATCTTTACAGGATATTCCAGTCAGGATATATTTGAAGAATATGAATTTAAAAATAAATATGAGACTCCAGTGAGGATACACTTGAAGAATGTATATGCTACTCTCACCCTTGCTACCATAGCAGCCTCTGTTGTGGCTATGCCCACATGTTCAGCACATTTATTAGTTCTGGATTCATGACTTTTCTGAGTGCCATTTGGGTATTAATATTACTCGTATTTACACCTTATGATGGCAAAAACCAGCTGCAGAGACTTTCTCTCCTTGGTATCTTTGCCTTCTTGACTGGCTGTAACCTTGGCCCATTTTTGAATCTGGCTGTGACTATCAACCCTGCATTGTAAGTGAATCTATTAAGGATACACATCGTCATTTTATTCATATAGTTATGTCATTAATATTTGAACGTTTAACTATATTTATATTGACTGACTTTTAATTATTTTATATATATATATATATATTTTTTTTATAGGTTTTGCAAGCTCTGCTCGGCGCAAGTGTGATATTTGCTTGCTTCTCCCTATCAGCTCTCTATGCTCCTGATGGTCATTACCTCTATCTTAGAGGTACACTGATGTCGGTATTGTTAACCCTCATTTGGGTTTCGATATATAAATCTTCTTTGGCTCTCAACTCCTTTTTAAGGTAAGTCTAATAATGGAGATTGTCTTTTTTTATTATAAATCAATGAGAGTATTATTTATTCTGATAATTATTATTTCTATGCTTTTTATGTCTGTCTTATTTTTTTTTTAGGCAAATTTGTACATTGGTCTAGCAGTCATGTGTGGCTTTATAGTCTATGACACTCAGTTCATTGTTGAGAGAGCACGCCGAGGAGATATGGACTATGTGATGCACAGTTTGAATCTATTCGTTGACTTTGTTGGAGTATTTTGGCGCCTTCTCATGATCCTTACAAAAAGGTAATTTCTTATAGTATAGAAAATGGTAAACATGTACAATCGCCTTATTACAAATATATGATAAGAGAAGAATTTGCTATGAGTCCATATCCAGTAATTATAGACGTTCAACTAACGTTGTATTTTTTTTTTTCAGGAGGCACAGAGCAAGAGGAAGAAAAAAAGCTGTAATAAATAAGGAAATATAACATATTACATTACATAATATTGTTTATCGGGTATTTGATATAATATTGCTTATCGAATACTTGTAAGGAATAAACCATAAGGTTATCATGATTTTTTTTAATAAAAATTTTTTGGCAAAATATTTTTTTATTGACCAGACAAAAAGTATTGTTAATTCTGATTATTTTCATTGAAAAGAAACTTATTTTTGTTAGACATATCCAATAAGTTATTTTGAGACAGGTGAAGCATTTATTTGAAGATCTACTTTACTGTCATTTTTACTGTTAATCATTTCAAATACATCTCTCTCTTTGTAAGTATTTGACTGATCATGGTCGGGAAGGTAGATGTGTTGATCATTCAATCGGAGAAACAATTCCTCCAGGAGAGAGTCAAAGGAGAGCATCTCCATATTTTTACTCAAGAGGTATATTAAGAAAAGATCGCCAATCTGTAACTTTTTCGAGACGTTTTGGTCCAAGACTTTCTTGTAGTGCAGCATACTCGCAGGCTTTTGGAATAGCAATGTCGACCTGATGACGGGAACGTAAAACATCAACAGACGATAGATAAACGCCGTTATACTAATGACAGTCAATACAATAAACCAAAACCACATTATAACATAAATCTTTTCGTTAATGATATTTAGGGCGAGCACACACATGAGATCGTGGATCTCAACTGTACCCGAAGGCCCATATGTATGAAAGGAACACTTGGTGACTCGCGGAAATATCACAATCATCGGGTCTGTTCGTTCTTCTTGATTGGTCTCCGTGAAGCTCAGTACGTCCGTCCCATACGTGAGAAACATCCCACCTAAAAATCTATTCATAAACCACATATTGAACAAACAATTTATTATATTGAGCAACTCGCAGAAAAAAACTTGATGGCATAAAAGTTGTGGTGATGAAGAGAATTGCATAGATAGTCGACCAGCAGTTGAATCTTATCGCGGCGTTCCTCTTTATTCATGATGGGGTGGCTAGACCCATAATAATAGATTCCAGCTTGCCATTTTCCCATGTTTTCCAAAGCCAATGAGGTGCGTAGAACATCAAACCCTACAAGGAAAAAAAAAAGAGATATTTAAGTATGTCATATTTATATATATATATATATATATTCTCTCTCTCTCTGTATATGTGTATGTATTTATCCATTTATGTTATACATACCTGTAAGAAGAGTACAAACGGTACCCATTGATAGTAGGCATGGTGCGTTTTCGTGTCATCTGGTAAACTAGGGCCAACGCCAGGGTATGCCAAACCTGTCCCTTAATTTCATAAAGGAAAGAAAAAGAAACTTGAATCTTTTTATAAACTTGAATCTTTTAACATTATACAGTATATATATATACAATGCAATATATTATAGTATGAATATTATCAATTATGTGAGTAATCTTACCTCTTCCGTAGTCTTTATCAATATGCCTTGGTAACGTAAATGTCGTATGGATCCAACAATATGTGTTTACGACCTTATCTTTTAGTTTCGAGTTGTTATCATGCATGCAACTATCGGAGAAAGTAAACAAACCATTTGATATATATATATATATATATATATATAATATATATATATATATATATATATATATATATATATATATATATATATATATATATATATATATATATATATATATATATATATATATATATATATGATAAATACTTACTTGATGGGATCTCCGACTAGACTATTGGCGCTAACTAAAAGACAAAAACTAAAGAGCATCATTGCCGTAAAGCGATAATGTAGTTTGAAAACGGCACTATAAATATCCGCTGCATTGTGATTAGTTTTTACGAGTCCTCGGAGACCTGTTAATAATCCTACTAACACCATTTTGTTTTACAACATGTAGGATAAACAAGAAAACATAAATATTGTATATATTTACAATATCACTGACTAGATAAGTGTCAATATTCTAGTTAATAAATATATATATATATATATATATACATGTGTTATTAAATCAATCTATTTTAAAGTATATCATGTTTATTTTCTCCCCTTTATTTTTTATACAATTTCAATGGGTGTCTTTGTTTGAACATTAATATTTTATAGGGTACTTGTACAATTCGCAGTTTTGATTTGTGTTTTTTTTCTATTTCTAATCTGGTACGATAAGAAAGGTGATTTTCATTTTTCCTAAATTCAATACAATATTCAAGCGGTGGTCCTTTTTTTCTAATTTCTTTCACCATATCTATTTCTCCTAATATGTCTAACATCATTTGTTTTATACTAGTTGATAAATAATACAAGTAATAACATACTTTCGAATTTGGTAACTTGTCATTCTCTAAGTATAGGTGTCTATTGGTGATAGTTTTTTCAATTCTATTGAAATCTACTATAACTTCATTATTTTCAAGATCTATAAACTTTATTAAAACTTGGTGATATTCCATATTCTCATCATTTAATATAATTTGAAATTGCTCATATAAATAGAGGCATATGTTTTTTTCGGAATTTGATTTGTTGCATATTATATTGCTAATAGTCCGGTTTTTCATCTCTAATTCATGTACCGTTTGATTGTATTGTTTCAATAAACTTGGTGAGGAATCATATGGTAGTTGCAATTGACCTCTTCCTGCTGCTGCCGTTGCCGACATGGAGGATGATGGATCGAGTTCTCGGTCCCATGCTCTGATAAAAACCTTGGATCCGCCTGTTGTTTGGGCGGACGATGGTCCGTGTTGCTGTTGTTGTGATATGTTATCCGTTAGTTGGGTTTGTGATTTTCTTTTCACGTCTATTTTCCTCATAGAAGAAACATTGTTTCGTTTTGGCGATAGTACGTTGTCTGTTTCGTTTTTTTTTAATAAAAACTTTGGGAACTTGCAATTTGCTATATCGTTGTGATACATCATTTGTTGTTTGTGTTTGTCTTTCTAGAATTGGTGAGGAAGCATTACCCCTTATTTCAAAATTATAAGTTTCTTTCCTCATTCCAAAGGGATGGGAAAAAGAAGCTATTCAATTGTAATCTCTTTAATTTTTTAACATATATATCTTATGATTTTTTCTTAACAGTATATAAAAAAATGTATGGTTATTATTTATTTACATTCAATTTCATTTACAATTATTATTTGTTTATACTTGTTATAAACTTTAGCTTGATACTTATAATTGATTATAAATATCTATAAAGTTTTATACTTGTGGGTTTCATGTTGTGTTTGATCAGGGTCTAATTCTATTCTTATTCTATAAGAAAATAGACGATCTATATCTCTTTTAAAATTACAACAATCCTCTGCGAAGGACCATATTCCCTAAGACTCATCATATTGTTCATAATATCTAAAATTTCGACCATCATTTTCTTTACAGTCCATGGTTGTCTATATATAAATGTATCTATATTTGGCTCTATATTCTGTACTTGATACATATTAGAAGAAGTAGAATATACATACACTGTTGATACCAATTTGTTATTATCATAGGACACAACATCTCTAAATGAAATAAAGATACTGTGTTCATCTCTCGTGTCTCTTAGTATCTTATCCAAGTCTTCTTGAATTTTAGATAATACACTTTTTTCAAAAAATGTTCGTTCACATATATTCTTATTCAAATTGTTTTCAACTTCTGACACTTCTAACGCTAATGCGTCTGGGTAATATTGCTGTTGATGATTATCATAGTTATGATAATCTTCTTGTTGTTGCTGTTGTTGCAGCTGTAAAACAGCTTCTCCTTCAGTGGTGATTTGAGATCCATGTTGTTGTTGTGGTGGTGGTGGCAATGTTAGGTGACGGTCTATATTTTCCAAGATTGGGAGTTCACTATAGTGTTGTTGTTGAATAATCTCGTTATCGTTTGAATTGTATTAAAATCCTGTCGTTTTGACGATAACTGATCTGTAATCTGTTGCTGTTGTTGCGGCTGCTGTTGCAATTGTAACATGGTATATTCGTGGTCTGTCCAAACTAAATCTTGAGATCTGGATCTCATATCATAGATTTGTTCTGTTGTTGTTGATCCTGTTGTTGATATTCCTGTTCTTCTTTATATTCTTGTGATCCTGTATCTTGTTCTTGTTGATCCTGTTGTTGATATTCTTGTTGCTCTTGTTGTTGTTCTTGCTGTAACGTATCTGTTTTTGGGGTATCATTATTAAATTCATCTTCATCATCATCGTCCTTTTCATTAATAAATTCATCTTCATCGTCATCGTCCTTTTTCAAGACTTGGAAATCGCCATGCTTTTTTTTCTTGATTGAGTATCGTAGATGGCTTATTTTCCTCTTGTTTCTCGTCATCTCCTCCAATCTTGGCTTTCTCTTCCTTTTTGTAGTTTGTAGTTTGAAATTTGTAGTGAGGCCTTTCTTATCTCATGGTAAGGTGGTTCTTTGGGAAGAAGAGAAATATATGCTCTTAGCTCCAGTATTCGTTTAAATTTATATTTTTAGATTTATTTAATTATATTTTCCTCCCACATAATAGGTGAAAGATGTAACGATATTGTTATTATTATTTATTTATACTCACCGTTTATAAGAATAAATCTTCTTTTTTTTAATTGTATATCTCTTTCTTGGTACGATCATGTTAACATATTATACATGTCATCCTCATCATTTCATATGGATTGACAATATTAGCACTTTTGCTGCATATTTTTTCTTCAGTATTTTTGCACATTTCTTCATTTCTTTTTTGCGTTTCTTTCATAATATTATTCTCGTTACATATATCCTCATTTTTTTTTATTTCATCATTTAACTCTTTTAGCTTCGTGTTATTTAGTTTTATTCTAACATTTAGCATCGTATTGTGTCATTTTCGTTACTTATTATTGTTATTATATCACTTATTATTATTATTGTGTCATTTATAGTCTCATTCAGAGTTGACGAGGATGGCGTGATGGTCTTGGTGGTCTTGTCGGTTAATGTAAGCAAGTTTTCATTATCATCATTCCTATTTTTGTTATTGATATCACCATCGTGATGGTGCTGTGATTTATTAGTTGTGCTCATTTTTATTTTATCTATATATAGATATTGTTCTATCAACCAGAGAGTTGTTTTTAGACCATTGTTTCTCTGGTTAACCCCGACAAGGACAAATATATTTATAAGGACAATTAAGTATATTTTTTTACTTTGATGGGTTTTAATAACCTGTTTGATAGGTTCTAATAGCCTGTTCAGTTAAGCACATATACATTTTTGTATATTCTCTCCTTTGAGA